AATTTTAATAATAAAAATAAAAATATTTTAAAAAATACACTTATTTGTTTTTAAATATGTCTTTATTAGTCATTTAATGTTAAACAACAACCGCTAACTATTGTATAACCAAATAATTATATTTATCAAATCCGTTATTTACCATCCGCTACCCACTTTCCGCTATCCGCCATCCGCTATCCGCTAACCGCCACCCGCTACTCGCCACCCGCTACTCGCTACCGCTATCCACTACCCGCTACCCGTTACCCGCTGAATTTTAACCGCTGTACCAAACAGACCCTAAGCCAATATTTTTATGGGTTAAATCTGGGTCAATTTCTAAGAAAAATTCCTTTTTAATAAAATTTGATGTGAGGATATATTTTAAAAATTATTTAAGAGGATGTTGGTTGATATCTATTATAAAAAAAAAATTAGAAAAAGATAAGATATTGGTATCCAAGGAAATACAAGTTGGATTGGAAATACTGTTATTATCCCCAAAAAATAGAAAATTGATAAAAAGAAAATATTTGATTCAGCAAGAACATATTAATCAATCTATTAACTTATTTAATACTCATTTTATTTCAAAATTACTGTTGTTTTTTAATTTTCTTCTTAAATTGAGAATTTGGAGATGATAGTCATATTTATCTAAAATATTCTTTAAAAAAATAAAAGATTAAGAAAGATTTTTTGTAATTAAATAATTAATAAAATAAATAGATAATGATAGAGTTAAAGTAAAAATGATATTTATTCACTTTAAAAAAATAAAAAATAATTAATTAATTTAAGATAAATTTTAAAATTTTAAAATAATAATTATTTTAAAATCGAGGTGTAATACAATAATTATGAATTTATGATATTTTACACTGTGAGAAAAGTTGTTTCCGTGTCACCTGCAAAAAGAATATCAACTTACAAATTGTTTGGATGTGTTTTTTAACTTGATAACAGTAAATTTTGTTACACAAATTCTTTTATTAAAAGAAAAAAAGAATATTTTTGAAACATGAGATAAATTATTTTTTTGCACTAAAATTGAGAAAATTTCTTGTAATTTTCCTTCAAAAAAGCTAGCAATATTACTTTATAATGATAGCCACATAAAAAATTTAATGTAAATTCATATGACTCATGCTCTATACCAACTAAAAATAGCTAATTAAATTTGAAAATATTTTAAATTTTTATTGATAATAAATTCTCATAACATGACATAATGGTATTAGTTTTCTTTCTTTTCTTTTTTTCATTTAGGAAGATGCATGAATCGGTACAATTTACGTATTTGATATCATTCGATTGTTTAAAGATTTATAAATTTATTATCAATGAATTACAATTATGACATTATAAGATAAAATTGGGAGTGAATATTTGTTCTTTAAAAGAAAAAAAGAATAAATAAATAACCTCTATTGTTATACAAAATTATTGAGGCTATGTTTAGGGTTGCGGTTGGAAATTTTTTTGTATAACTATACAGTACTTTTAAATATTTGTGTTTGGTAATTTTTTTCAGATTGTTTTCTTTAAAAACTGTGAAAAGCCACAATATATTTATAATAATTTTATATACAAAACCAAAAGTATCATTTTAAAGTTTTCTGACTATAACTTTTATAAAAAAAAATACATAATATTTAATATAGTTATAAAATTACCCATTAAAACTTAATTTTATATAATTTAATTACATCATATTTTATAATATTTTAATAATGATAATAAATTAAAAAACTTAAAATATTAAAAAATAATAAATATTATCTACTTCAATAATTATATATCTCATAATATTTTTAAAATTTTAATTAATAATTAATAAAATCTAACATATTTCATCTATAATATTTTTTTAAAAAAATAATGAGACAACATAATAACTTTTAACTACAATTATCATACAGCACAATTCAACATAACCATAATTACAGTCATAATACTTCATATCAATCCCAAACGCATCTTTAGTTCATGGTTGTCTGTCCGATGCAAAAGTGCCTTTTTTTTAAAGTAATTAATATTTTTT